TCAATTAACAAACGGAGACGTAACAATACAAACAAAACTGGAAAATTATTTGTTTATTTCTTAATTTAGAGTCTCCGCTGATTAAGGACATTTTTTTTATTTATCAAAAACGTTGGTGATATAACAGAAAATAGCTTAATTCAGAAACAATTTAAGTTTAAAATTTAATCGATATTCTTACTTTCATAATAAATTTTATACACTTGGCTGGCCCGGCATGGCCAGGTGGTTAGGGCGCTCGACTTGCAATCTGAGGGTCGCGGGTTCGAATCCCCGTCACACCAAACATGCTCGCCCTTTCAAAGAGGGAAGGCTGTCAAGTGGGTTGCATCCTTGACATAAGAAAGAGCTTTAGAAACGATGGCAGATCTTGCTCTGCCATCGGCTCAACGGTCCGCAAGGACTATGAGAAATGAAAAAAAAATAACAAAAAACACTTGGCTACGTCTTTAGTTTAGGCTTATTACACCAACAATCACTACACTTATAAGGTTTTACGCCCCCCCCCCCTCACGGCTCTCTTGAACCTCCATCACTAAAGTCGTAATGGGCAGATAGTAATCGAACTATTCTATCTGGGTAAATTCATTTTGGCTTTTATGATACCTCCTATTTCGAGAAATTAAGCATGATGTGACGTGGCACACACTGGCTTTTATATAGATTATAAAATAACAAATTATTTTAGTATTCATTGTTACCTCATCAAAAGTCTTGTATATGCTTTAAGAACTCACTATGTATATACTTAAAACATGGTATACACTGTGCGATGATCTGGGTGTAAGAAGAGGTAGCAGAAAAAGTAGTGGCAGTAGGTGTGCTTTCTGTTACCTGCTTTCAACACCCAGCTCATAAATATATTCTTCAACAGTGTTTCACGTGAGTAATTAATTGATGATCAGTGGCTGCAGAAGTGTCTTATGGTCCGAAGTTGAAAGGTCACGGCAGAGCTGGTCCTAGTTAAAGCGTGGCCCAAAATCAAGATGCATATTGGGGACCCAATATAGAATAAAGAATAAAAAATATAATATATTTTTTTTACATAAAAATGTGTTGCGACAAGTACAAATATAGTTACATTGAGTAAACATGTTAAAAATAACATTTTCTAGATTTAATAGACGAAAATTCTGAAATGAGAACACTGTCGTTTAAAGTCATAGCACTATCATTCTTAATGTAGAGAACAGCTAAGTTAGTCAAGCGATTCTGCAGCGTCGTTGATCGCAAATAAATCTTTATGAGTTTAGGTTTAAATAAACTTCTTTATCCTGAAACAACAGTAACAGGAATAATTAGTAGGATAGGTAAAGTAGTGGTGAAATTGGGAAAGTCCACACACCATTTTCTTGGAAGCTATAAAGCTTAAAATCTTCAGAAGATCCGTTTGAATTTTGTTTGGAAGAATGGGTTTTAAGGCTTCCATCTCCTCTGCAAGCATGAAACTGTCAATGTAGTGATGTCCATCATCTGTTAGTACTATTTCCAGATCTTTTGCATGCTTTCACATTTCTGACTGCGACAAATTTCCAAACTTGTAAATAAATACAAATCTCTCGTTATGTCCATGAAGTTGTTTGAACCATCGATTCAAAGAGGTCATTGCAGTATCCATAATTTGGTTGAAGCAGGAAATTTTAAAATCTTCTTGTACATCTTTAATCAGCTGGTCTCTACTTTTATAGACAAACTTTTTTTTTCTTCTATGGACTCTAGTATTTGTGAACACTGGTTCGATGTCCAGCTCGTTTGCAATTTCTTTTGCATCAGTCACTGTGCTGACAAAGCCACTATTCTGGTATTCTTTCAGTCATTTACATGTTTTGCTCAGACTTTCGATGGCGCTAGCTAAGTGTTTTCCATCATTTTGTAGATCTTTGCTGACACAGTTAACTTGAAAGAGGATGTCATACCAAAATATGACAGCAACGATGAATTTGAAGTTCTTCAACACCATACACAGGGATTTTGTTTCAATTCTTGCTTGAGGATTTTTTGCTGTCTCAATGATCTCAACAAGAACATCATAGATTTGGGCAGTTTGATACCAAACAGCCTTCACACTTTGAACACGGCATTCCCATCTCGTTTCACTTAGTGGCTTCACGTGAACATACGTGCGGAATACTATCCATCGGTGAAATGAGACAGAAAAGAAAACATACAAGTGTTGAATTACCCCAAAGAATGATATAACTTGATGACATGTTTTTGCCATGTCACAAACAATCGGTCATAGTTATGACATGCACATGGAGTAAAGAATGCTCTTGAATTCATCTGTAGAAGCCATACTTGAACACCCGAAATGTGTCCTCTCATGTTAGAACCATTTGCATTACCTTGTCTATGGATGTCACCAACTTCCAACCTTATTCTTTGAGTTCTTTCAGTAAAACTTTCAATAAGTTTTACCCTGTATTTTCTGTGACTTCAATAAACATTATAAAGTGCTTGAAAATTCCACTTGAAACATCTGATGATCCATCTCAGACATATCAGAGAGTTAATGTCATATGTCTGGTGTACAGTCTAATATCACAGAAAAATACTTTGCCTTTCATTCTCTCTATAATGGTTGTCCACACTTTGTTACACATAACTGAGATAAGTTCATTCTGAATTGACTTTCCCGGATAGTGATCATGAATTTCAGCGTCTACAACTCTTCTGACATGTTCTTGTTTGGGTGATAAGTCTATCAACAGATCCTTGAAGTGCCATACTGTGTTCAGCCAGGTACCGCACTATGGCCAGAAGACGATCAAAAGCGTTTCTCCAGCGAAACTTTTCAGAGTTGATGGTAGAATTGTGGTTCAGTTGATCTACAGTGCATTTTTGTTTAATCTTTGCTCATATTCCATCCATTGTAGAGTAGCTGTCAAGTGTTCCTGTGATCGTTCATGTTCAGACAGGTGCAAACTAGTAATTTGGTGAAGATCCATCAATAGGGAGCGAAGTAGTGATAAAAAACGTAAAAACACAAAAATGTCCATAAAAACTTCAAAACGCAAAATGCAAAACTGAAAATGTGCATGTACTCCAGCATGGACCTAGTGAACCTCCATACCAATATTGGTGAAGATCAATCAAAACACTGCGAAGTAGTTACATGGACATACACTAGACAACAGACAGTACTATTATATTTATATAGATATAGCTTTCAACAATATCAATACAAACTCAAACCAATCTCAGCCATGGGCGTTCACAGAAAGTTTTTCGGGGAAGGACAAACTTTTCCGGTGGGAAGGAGCAAAATAGTGTGAAATTGTGAGTAAAAAATTCATATACATATGCTAAATGAATAAAGAAAGAATTTTGTTTCTCATTTCCCAGGGGGCCAAGTGTCTCCTCTTGCCCCTTCCCTCGCAGATGCCCATGACCTCTGCTTAATTCAATATACACAGTAAATGTACGTTTACTGTCTGGAATGGCTGCCAACCACAAGGTCATTGGTGAGGTTCTCGCCGGTCATTGGAACTTTCGGACACCTTTTCAGTGATTCATCATCTGACTCGCTGAACACAGCCAGCTAATTATATGCTACACATGGTGCAGTACTAGCACCAACACTGATCATCATAATTCAATAATAATTGTAATTCCTTACAGTGTGGCATGGTGTTGTGACAGCTGAAATAGCTTTTACTTCAACACATTGTCCTTTTCAGTTGTTATGTGTGGATTGGATTCTTTACAGTAGGCGTCTGTGACTTGTTGGCGACAAATTTTAACAATAAACAAGCAACACACAGTCCATTGGTTTTAAAATAATATATTAAACCAAGCCAAACATACATATAAGTGTTGTTACGCCGATGGTTATCACAGTTGTATCCAGAGTTTTAAATAATTCTCTCTTTTTCGTCAAAGTCCACACAGGCTGATTCAGGTACTTTAGAACACAATTTAACAAGACGAATTATTCTACCCGC